TTTTTTATATCCTGGTATCCTCATGACATCTACCTGACTAAGTATACTCAAAATGTTAACCAAGTAGACCATATGTTCAATATACAGGGATTAAATGTAAGAAATTCTCTTTCTTTCTGTTAGATTCAGATCGATATCGAAACACTTACTTGAAGTAAGAGTTTTAAAAAAACCCATAAAGCTTTATTACTGATATCTGTAACTTGGTGGAGAACGTATTGGTAACCGTGAAAAACTGATTTCATTTTCTGTAAATATTATTATTTATTACTTCATTTAAATCCTGACCAATGACTTGTTTATTCTTTCTACTTTTGACAAGTCATACTGGTTTCTCCTTCATTCTCATTCAAAATACTAAATATAATGAATATTCTTTATTTTCTTATAATCCTGTAATTTCGGTTCATTCAAGTGAATTAGTATTCAGTCAATTAGAACCAACATATTTACTTGTTAAATATCAACCAGAAGAATGATTGGTTAAAAGATTTAAACAACCTACTCTTCATTCATTGAAACAAACAAAATAAACTTATTTAAAGAAGTTGGATAAAGCAGTCGAAAGCCAGCGAAAATGATTTCTTCTTTCAGTTTATTCAATAAGTCTTATCAGTTTGCCAATGTTTTACATTTCAGTTAACTGAGGTGATCTCTGCAAGATAACTAATCATTTAACAATAGAGTCCAGAAAACAGTCGAAATTATATAAAATGGATATTTACAACAATAGTGTTGACCATATTTTCAGTTGACTGCCTTAAACGGCTATAATGTACTTTAAAAGACTACGCACCCGAGGCGGCCAGCTTAAACCATAGACTACCCACAATATTTGATCAAATTCTTCCATTTCTGTTTACTTGAATCCTTAATATATTTTTTTTTAATGTATCACCTACTCTCGTACTTTTCTGATGTGTTTTCAAACTCCCATTCTCCAAGCCAGGGATGAAGCAAAGGAAAAATGTTACGCCAGATAAAAAATGGACATATAGACACTCAAAAACGCAATTTTTGTACTGATTGATTCAACTACCACTAGCATGATTTCGTATTCATTCCCAAGTCCAAAGTAGACACTGACGTAACACATGCTACTCATTTCAAACTAGTGCCTTTAATTTCGTTATTAATAACACTATTCAGATGCAAACATTATTTCTTTCTAAACATATTGTACGAGAAACATATATGATGAAATATTGCCTGTTGAAAATTCCCTGATGTATCATGCATGTTGTTTGGATTTGACCGATTATTAGTAGCACTTTAAGGTTGTAACATGCTTCATTGTGTCAAGTTCAATTAGATTGATAATATTTCTTATTGATCATAGAATATGGTGTTTTCAGAGTTCATCTATTATTATAATATTATTTTTCTCCTAGGTTCCTAGTGGAACATAGTGTTTCAGTAGCACACCTCCATTGCACTCTCTTTTCTGCACTCTTTTGTACCTGACACCACGACTGCCCACAAGCTTTCATTTCTTCCTCACACTATCTCCTCCATGTCACCCTCGACATCGACGCCCAGTTCGTCGTTTCCCCTGTGGGTTCCACTCGACAGCCTGATAGTTGATGTCTCCAAACGGTCTTCTCGGTGTATGCTCAGTCCATCTCCACTTTCTTCTTCCACATATTTGTTGGGTTGTCGCCAGAGTTCATCTACTGTATTAAAATACATTTTTGCTAGTAAAGTATATGCTGCTGACTAGGCAATATGACAAAGTAAGGATCAGAAGAATTTAGTGAATTAGTTCCTAAAAGAGGCTAGAAAACTAACAATCAATTATAATTCATATTCGCTACCAAAAATAAAAATATTCCCAACTGCGGCAACAAAGGTATTCCAATCATATCATCCCAAATATTGCTTCTGAATCACCTAGTGTAATTGTTCCTATTATTTTCTTCTAAATTCGGCTAGAAATGAATCTATTCATTGTCGTGGTATCAGAAAAACACTAATCACCTAGGGCAACAGAAGGTCTGTGTTTATATTTATAAAGAACATGAACTTTCAAAGGGAAAGTATGCAAAGTAATGTTTTCAGACAAAATAATAAGGCGTTAGACAAAAAAATATGATAACATTTAAAAGTGCGAGAAAGAATTAGTTGCTATGATGTAGCAGGTCCTAAGTGGAAGTTTAGAAAAAATTGTATCATATCCACTTACAAACCATCAAGTTTTGGTTTTCTATCGTTTGACAATCTGAGGATTCATAAAAAGCTTTGCAAATGATGGGAAATTTCTGCCATTGAAAGGTACTTCAAATCTAAATTCAGTATAAGTTCTTAGTCACATAAGTTATGTGAAATACCTTACTAAATAAGAGGATGATTTTGCCAACACATTATTTCATTGAAACATACTACTAGTGAATAGCTTGAGTAGTTGGAAACCGTTCTGTAGTATTTTACTAGCCAAATCAAAGTGATCTAAGCACGGGATGGTCATTTCGCTGGTTTTTAGCCGAGCTCACCTTCGTTGTACCCAAACAAATTCGACCATCCAGTAGTAGTATTTTTCGCTAGTTAGTGACACTTCTGTATTTGAGGTAACACCATGGGATCTCGGTTGAATGATTTCCAGTGAAAAACCTGCTGACATCACATTTGGGCAGTCAAACAACTACTCATCTGTGTGAAATGTCAATTTGAATTGTGAAATTCATGAATCATCTGCTAATTAATCATCTTAGTTTGAGTAAACTAGTTCAAACAAGTCAACTAATCAAATTTAGGTGATCCGAACTAATTTGGCTGGTAGAGCCGAATTTACACCGCTGATGAGCTTGTATGAAGACGAGCGAAACGGCCACTCGATGTTTAGATCATTTTGATTTGGCTAATTGAGTACTACAGACCAGTCTGTTTGGTTTCTGACTACTCAAAGTGTTTGGTAGTAGAATTTTTCACGGCACTTGTGTCAAATATCACACATGCGATCTTAGGTGAGTGGTTTCCAGTGGAAACCTTGCTGACACTACACTTTGGGTGTCAGTTGAAAAACTGCTCAACTGTGGGAGATATCTGCATGAACTCTGCAGTTTATAAATCATTTGCAATTTGATCTCATCGTTCTATTTTTTATGAACATGATTGTGATGGTTACTCTTGTTTCATTACTTATACCGATTTGGTGCCAGTCACTTGACCAACAAAATAGAAACTTTACTGCTTACCCTTCCTTTTATTAATGTTTATATCTGAAGTTGTGGGTGAATGAATTACATAAAAAGTGAAAAAAGGTTCCTAAACTCCTAGAATACTTTGAATAGAGTGAATGCAAACATTGCAGTATAATAATATGAATGACCTCTATTGTTTTGCCGGTTCTCTTCATCTGTTAACAAATCATACGACTAGAAACAACAAATTACAACAGAATGCTAATATACTGGGCTGTGGTTTGAGGAGTCAGGTAGTATCATTAGCTCTCACACAACCGGTGTGGCTTACTACCTGAACAGATGTGAATAAGGTAACTGAGTGTGTTATGTTGCGTTTCTTGTACGTTCAGTGACTACAGTAGGATGAAAAAGGTTTGAATTATTCTTTCCGCTTATTATTTTAAATGACTTCCAAGCATTTGCATAATGGTTTGTGTAATAAGTGCTTAGTAACTAAACTACTGAGGACAGTTTTTATGAGGATCATAGGTAGTCAATCTTCTCATTTCTATGCTTTTCTAAACGTGTTCATAATGACTTAAGTTAGCCTCTTTCTGTTCCGTTGATATAACGTCTCCGACAGACAAATATGAACTGGTACACTTAATCGGAGGTAACATGTGATGATACCTATGGATTTTTAATAACGTTGGTGGGTGAAAACTGGAATTAGAAGGATTAGTTTGCTTGATGGTTATATCCTGGTGAGTGGACTGCTTAATCATTAGTTTATCATCATCACAAGTTGTGATGAATGAAGACCAACTCCTTGATGAAATTCATTTCTTACCCTTTCTTCATTATCTTCTGCCGTGTTTGCTGATGAGGGTTTGCATTCAGGTATGGAGAATTCTCGAGCAGTAATAATTTCTCAACAAGTTCACCAGCTTAGCCTATCCTTTTTGTCATGTTTTTTAAACAGGGGGTCGTTCATATTTGGCTTTTAGAGAAACTGTGGAATTTAGGTCAAACATCACTGTATAGGCCTTTGAAACGAATAGGTCAGTGAAGTATACCATTTATTTAACCTTCAGCACTGATGTTCAGAGAGTTGAATCCACGACTGTCTTCGTACTCGATTACTTAGTTTTTGTCCACATGTTCATCAATGAAGGTTCCAAGTAGATATGATGCGTAATTTAAACCCTTACACACAATGCATGTGTCGTCAGGATATTTAGAGTTGTGGTTGTATTGTGTTCTCTAAGTTGGGTTGTTTAATCGCGAAGCTTTCATCGTCTTTCTAGACGACATCATCAACACTAACTTCAGTATGAAGTGAATTGTCATTATCTCTCCGTGAATGCTTTAGTAGTTTACTTTGACGATGTGGTCTGTGACTGGTTGTTTTCTTTGATTATTGTGTCGTTGACTGTATAGTATTTCATGCTGGCTGTTCCTCAGCTTGACCTCTGACCTTCCTTCCGTTTATCATTTTTCTCAGAGTTTTATCACATTAATTATAAATTTGAGGTTTGCTCACTAAAAATAAGTCCCACTTATACTGCTGGTTGATACTGAAACCTCGAAACAAAACAAAAGAAATATGTCTACAAGAGTCCTGGGTAAGATAAGTTGAAACTTTAAAATTTCACAAGTAGAAGGAGGAAGAAGTATTCCTAATTATTATAATCATATTTATTTTAGAAACTGTGACTAATCCTTTCCTATTATTATCACTGTTAGTGAGGAAAATTTACAGAAGAGAGGTAATAAAATATCCTGTTCATCTATAATCAACAATAAATTTACTGCTATGCTTTCTCATATTCATCTTCTGACTAATAAATTATTTATTTTACTTTATTTACTTTCCACTAGGTTACAGTGTTTTCATCAGCATTTATGCTGCTTGGTTTAACGACAAGTCGATTTTTAGCTGTTGTACTACCCTGGCAAAACTTGAAGACAACAGAATTTCAAGCTAAACTAGTCTGTATAGGGGCCTGGCTTGGTAAGTGCTTGCGAAATATGTTCTCTTTGTAGCCTTGATTGGCGCAAATATATGTTAAATTGGGAGGGTTCGTAGAGATCTAGTGATATTTCAAGTTGACAATCATCATGGACTGACATCAGCTGGAGCAACATTGGAAACCTTCAACTAATGTCAGTCAATGGTCAATACCAACTTGAAAAAAGGAAATAAATGTGTTTGTCTGTTAACTTTGTTATTTCACTTTTAATCTATTTCGATCAACCTAAAAGAAAGTATATATTTTCGTTGCTATTCTGTCACATGATTGACACCTACATCCTGTCACCGTTATCGAATGTGCTAAGGGTGACATGCATAAATGTCAATCCTGTTACCAATTAGTCTTAGTTTTTAGTTGGATGGAGCCAATCGGTAGGTAGCCCTGGACCTAGGTTCGCACTCGTCAGCTAGGTGTATCTGCAACCCCAACGGAACTGACTGGAGCCTGCGTCACCCACTGTTGTGGCCACCGACGTTACCAGTGAACTATTCAAGACGCTGTTAAACTCCTCTACGACTCACTCATATATACCGATTGGTCACGGGAGAGCAACCAATTTCATGTTGTGTAGTCCTCAGTGCACACCGAATTCTATCGATCATTTTCCAGTGCTCTAGGACTAGATTAGATATACTGGTTGGTCACTGGTCACTGCAAAATGATAGACAGAGTTCGATCAGCACCTAGGATTAGACAACTTGAAGTTAGTTATCCTCCAGTGATCAATCAATGTGTTAGTCTTTCTTATTTATCTATCCCACAATGTACAAACGTCTCAAAGATACCTAAAAATCATTGTATTTATCAAAATATTTACGAATTTACTATACATTCAACTCAATCAAACTTCTGTTGCTCTATTCTGATACCTGAAAATATAAATATATCATTTTTTTTTTTATTGGACTGTTGTCACCTGTGTACACTAATCTGTTCATTCTGACTGTACTGGCTCATAGATGGACTTATGGTTTCTTTACCGATTTTCAATGAGTAATAAGTATTTAAAATGCTTTCCCAACAACAAACCCCAAACACTATAAGGTGTACAGTATCACTGTTCTTCAAACCAATTCATATTATATAGTCTTCCATATAAAATTCTTTTAGACTTCTGAATGTAAAATCATACGAGTGAACGAACTCCGGAAGGAATAACTGTTGGGATGCAGTGAAATCATTTTCTGGTATATAAATACACGACTGTAAAAACTCACTACTGGTTTTGTTCAACCTATGTGACGATATCTAGTCTACTAGACACCTGTAATGTACCAGAATACCCCATGGTTATCCTGTTCCCAAGAATACCATAACATCGGGATCGTTCATTTCTTTTTCAGACATCCCAACATACAATTTAAGTGGTTACAAACGACGAAAAACAACCTTTTCAGCATATATGAATCTTTCTACAACAATAATGAGTCTCTGCATTATGTTAACAAAAAGTGACTCTTATTATTCAGGGAAATGTAACAAAATTAACAAGATATTTTATTGAAACAGTCTGTATCGAATAAACATTTACTGAAATTAGACAAGGTATGTTATTTGGTAAAAAAAAAATATGGTTAGCTGATACTATATTATTGGCTAACATCTTTAAAAAAACATGAATCCCAAAGAACCTGAAAACATTTAAATAGAAAACAACACTAGTTGCTGTATGTAACTTGAAGTTGTTACTTAACAATATCTGACACTTTCGTCACAGCATTTTTTAGCACGTCATTCAATGCATCTTTACACTTATATATGAATGACTGTTTGTGAACAAGACAACCCTGGTCTCTAGAATCACTCCATCAATAGTTAGTTCAACACTGGAGGAGATGAACGAATTACAGGTTGCTAAAACAAACAACTATATGAAACAAAAGTCAATAAATCTTAATATCTCATCAGGTTGGTATTCATCATGGATTGATATCAGTTGGAAAAACACTGGAAATCTATGAGCACTGGACAGCTGTTTCGACCTAGTATGGGATTCCTTGGCAGTGAGCAATCATAACTGGTACTAGTCTATGATGAATACTAGCCTGAAACCAACAAATAAATCCCCACAAACCTCGAAATCAGATCTTAATATATTTTTTGAACTTAAGAGACAAATGCTATTGTAAATCGCTCTACACCTCCAAGAATTTTTTTAAGGTACGTAGACGATACGTTTGTCATCATCAAACGAAACAATCTCGATGAACTCTTCTGTCATATAAATAATGTGTGCGGAAGTATCACTTTCACCAAGGAAGTTGAATCCAGTTCGTCGAAATTAAACTTTATGGACTGCATTGTCGAAAGACAGGATTACAACAAACTAAAAATCAAGATATTCAGAAAAGAAACACATTCTGACAGGTATCTCGGTTATCAGTCTGCACACGCTTTAACTACTAAAGTAACTGTCGAACGGGGCTAACCGTATTATTACAACCGAAGAGGAAAAAGAAGAAGAGTAACAGTTAGTTTGCCACACACTGGAAGCAAACGATTGTCCCAAAGGTTTCGTTAGACGTATTTTAAAAAACTAAATTAAGCATGTGCCGAAACTCTCGGAAAAATTGAACACGCACGGTCATAATCTCATACCGAAAGGAGACTTCCGTCGTCGAATTTCTGAGCAACACCCATCATGGTTGAACAAGTGACAAATTAGAACTATAAAGAGCTCTCTCCTTGCACACTTAGTTGACACAGACCATCAAGTGGTTACTGGAAAAGCCTTCAAAACCACCCACCAGATTCCAATTAATTTACCCCATGGATTACGCACTCGGTTACTTCACATAGCAGAGGCAATTGCAACCCACCTTCACAAACCTAGCCTTTGTATCCAAAAAAAGATTGTTCGACCACTTTCATTACCGTGGCCGTCAACATGATGTAACTTCTAGGTTTACTTTGTACACCTCTTCCCATCCTTGTTTCGATCAATATTCATATTTCCAATTTTAGTAACTCTGTTGAATATTTACACCATTATTTCTGATACACCACGTGATTGGTAATTTGATTAAATTGTAAACTTATATATTAGTGTAGAGCCCAAGATGAAGACCTAAATGAAAAGGAATGTATTTCTTAGCTCAGTCAGCCTTTTTAGAAATAAGAAAGGTTCTCAACAAACAGGACATAAGAGTTTACTTCCGTGTAACAAAAACCCTACTTTCTAACTTAATGAAAGTTAAAGATGTAGTACCCAAAGAAAATCAGCAAAACTGTGTCTATGAAATCAAATGTAGAGATTGTACTGCAGTATATGTAGAGGAAACAGTCAAGCAGGTAAATGTGACAGTCAATGAACATAAACTATCCTTACAGAAGATCCCAAAAACCTTAGCAGAGGTTTAGAAACTAAAAAACAAATCTGTGATCGCTTTACACTCCATAGAAATGCAACACAAAATCGACTCTGGCAGAACTAAGCTTGTACAAAAGGTTTTGGGTCATACCAAGAAAGATTGACAACCGAAGCCCTACATATATGGACGAATCCAGACAGTTTGAACAGACGAGATGGAGTACAGTTAGCTGCATCTTGACAATTACTAATTGGTAAGCAGAAAGAGTGACTCAAAACATTTACCGTCAACACTAGTCTCAACTCCATTATTTCTGCATCAACAACAACACAACCTGGACTAATTTCATTCACTATTACTATCAACATCATCATCATCATCACCACCATCATTACGGAGACAATTCCCTAACACTATTCACCACTTTATTCAAACTGAAATTGTATGCACATCCACCTCAACCTTTTCAACTTGTACTTATAAAATTACCGAACGACTATGTTGCCACCAGTGACCATTTTGTCTGATATTTACAATCAAGATGAATGTGAATCGGAGTATATATATGTATATGCCATACAACAAAAGACATACAATTTCACACACACTGAATGATTAGTTATCATAATTTAGAAAGACAATGACTATACGAAGAGGATTGAACAAGGAGATTAAATACACGTTTTTGAATTTGTTTATATATATATCCTTGATATTTTAATCATGATTATTTCCCTGGAGAGGCTCGGACCAGACTTCCATGCGAAACGTTAAAATTATTTGATTTCAAACTCGCTGTGACTTACACAAATGCAATTCTATATCTAATGTCACACTCAGAGTACTCATCTTACTTAATCTGGATAAACAGAGGTTATGCAAAAGGAATGGATTCTGAAATTATATTTTCTGAGACCATGTCCAGCAAACTTAGGCATAGCATCATGTTCCATAGTTTATGATTGTTGTTGGCAATATGTTAATGAAGCTTGATAAAATCAGCTATTGAAAACTCACACTAGATATGTAACTGCAATAACTTACCTCTTTAAATTACCTAGACAGAGAGGTTTGTCCCTCGAAAAGTGTCGATACATTTAAAAGTCGTTCTATATTATATAGTTCCATTTCTTATATTTTCTGAAATCCTCTTGGTTTCAAGAAAGTTAATATGTTTGGAGCTGGAAGAATGCATCATCATGATGACTGTTCTTGGTGTCATGGAGTGATTCTATTCTGAGAGAATATGTAAGGCATTATTCTGAAAAACATTCTTAGAATGGACTAGTTTTCAATTTTTATTCTTCAAACAGTCTTTTCAGACTAATATTCATATCACTGTAATAACTGCAATAAACTTAATGTTGGCTATTGCCAGTTTTGATCTCATTTGTTGGAAAAGATAAATTCATATGACTTTATTTTTGAAATCGTTACTAATGAAAAAGTAGGAAATTTAAAACAACAGTAAATGTTCATGACTTATTAATTTCATTTTAAAAATAGGTCAATCAGTAGATGTTTGAAAATATCTGAAAACGAACTCTATAAGATTATTATTACTTTTTTTGAATAAGAATAAATTCGTATAATATAAACCCATAGACTGAAGTATGTGTTAACCAATGAATGGCAAAATATTAAAAATATTTAACAATCTAAACTCA